TACCTTGCTGACACTGTACATGTGATGAACTTATGTTAAATATCTATGAAATGAGCATAAATGTTTTTGATGCTTTTAAAAATAGCACCTGTTGGGGAGCCTGGGTGGCTCAGTTGGTTGGGTGTTTGCCTTCAGCACGAGTCATTATCCTGGGGTCCTGAGATTGGGCCCCATGTCGGGCTCCCTGCTTAGTGGGGAGTCTGCTTCTGCCTCTGCTCCACTTGTGCTCTTTTTCTCAAATAAAATCTTTTAAAGAAATTAAACAGTGCCAGTTATACTTCCAGTGAGAGGGTGTCATGCTCTTTTTTTACATAGGAAAGAACATCGGTGCTTCAGATACTAAGCTATCATTTTACCTAGAAAAGTTGTTCTGGATTTAAAACTGCTTCTAAAACCCAGAAAAGGGCAGCCCTGGGGGCACAGCGGTTTAGTGCTGCCTTCAGCTCAGGGCGTGATCCTGGAGAGACCCTGGATCGAGTCCCATGTTGGCCTCTCTGCATGGAGCCTGCTTCTTCCTCTGCCTGTGTCTCTGCCTCTCTCTCTCTCTGCATCTCTATGAATAAATAAATAAAATCTTAAAAAAAAATAAAACCCAGAAAAGTTTCATTTACACATGTCTCTACATCCTGGAATTAAATTAGTGTAAACAGTTTTCATTCTCCATGAGATTCTGAATAAATTATTTCATTTGATGTGATGAGCCTAATTTTTTTTATGAAGATTTTATTTATTCATGAGAGACACACAGAGAGAGAGAGGCAGAGACATAGGCAAAGAGAGAAGCAGAGAGAGAAGCAGACTCCATGCAGGGAGCCCGATGTGGGACTCCGTCCCGGGTCTCCAGGATCAGGCCAAGACAGATCAGGCCAAAGACAGGTGCTCAACTGCTGAGCCACCCAGGCATCCTTATTTTTTTTTTAAAAGATTTTATTTATTTATTCACGAGAGACACACAGAGAGAGGCAGAGACATAGGCAGAGAGAGAGGCAAACTCCCTGCAGGGGAACCTGATGCGGACTCGATCCCAGGACCCCAGGATCACGCCCTGAGCCAAAGGCAGACGCTCAACCACTGAACCACCCAGGCGCCCCTGATTGTTTAAAAGACAACAGCAAACGCTCCCAATGGGCTGGTGGTGGTTGTCAAAGCCAAGCAGCACCGCATCCACAGTTGAGCAATGCGGAAGTGCCAAGAAAATGAAAGCAGGGAGACCAACAAATGGGGAAAATGTGGCAGTGACTTTCATTGTGACCATTCCACCATAACCACAGAGGTTGGCAGAGTGAGGACCAGTGAGGAAATTGCTTAGGGGCAGAGTCACTCACAGAAGCAAGGGTCAGTTTGGAAGAGAGACTGGAGGACTCACTAGGGCAGCACAGCAATCTGGAAGAGAGTAGACCTAGCAGCCTCTGTGGCTCCAGAGGGCATGAACATACTGTGTGCAAATATTTGGTTATTAAGACATTATGCTCTGTATCTTCTATTCACCAAAGTATGGAAGCATGAAAAATATTTTAAAAACAAGTCCAGGAAAATTACCCAAGTGAGGCCCCAATAGATGAAATCAGAAGTTCATCTGAATCCTCACTGTATCCTCAGCACTTGATGGAACAGAGAGCCTTAGTAGGATGCTGCTGAGAACATACAACAGTGTTTGGATTAAAAAGAAGTTTGCAGGGTGCCTGGGTGGCTCAGTTGGTTGGAAAAGCATCTGCCTTCGGCTCAGATGATGTTCCCAGGGTCCTGGGATCCAGCCCCAAGTTAGGCTCCCTGCTCAATGGAGTCTGCTTCTCCGTCTCGGTCTCCATGCCCTTCACCCCAGCTCATGTGCTTTCTCAAATAAATTAATAAAATTAAAAAAAAAAAAAGAAAGAAAGAAGTTTGTACTTACAAGCAAACCCAGTATCGCCTGGACATTTTATTTAGGCCAAAACTTCACTCTTAAGGTAGTAAGGAAATTGTAAGCATTAGTGATTTTTAATTTTAATTTTATTTTAAAGATTTTATTTATTTATTCATGAGAGACAGAGAGAGAGGCGGAGACACAGGCAGCGGGAGAAGCAGGCTCCCTCCGGGGAGCCTGATGCGGGACTCAATCTCGGGACCTTGGAATCATGCTCTGAGCCAAAGGCAGATGCTCAACCACTGAGCCACCCAAGCATCCTGCACTAGTGATTTTTTAGTTTTGAAACTTTAAAACTCTTTTCCTGTCAGGGTGAGGCAGAATTTATTGAAGCATATTCCTCAGAATGGAGAGGAAATATTCAGAAACAATCTGTTCACCATTATCACAGGAATACAAATTAGTTTCGTTAATCATATGTAGCTTTTGGGGTTCTTAAAATAGTACAACTTAACAGATCAATAGAATTTTAGGAAAGGGAAGCAGCACTTACAGAAGAGAACTTCACAGGAAAGACAAGTTTAAAACGTAAATCGTTTCTACCCCTGGGACGCCTGGATGGCTCAGCAGTTGAGCACCTGCCTTCAGTCCAGGGCGTGATCCTGGAGATCTGGGATCGAGTGCCATATTGGGCTCCCTGCATGAAGCCTGCTTCTCCCTCTGCCTGTGTCTCTCCTTCTCTCTCTCTCTCTCTCTCTCTCTCATGAGTAAATAAAATCTTAAAAAAAAAAAGTTTCTACCCCTGTGAGGTGTTATCTAGTAGGAAAAACTGACGTTACGAGCTGAAAGAACACTCCATGTGGCTGTAGTTCAATAGCAAACCCCGACTACAGGCATTCTGTAAAGTAGGAGACCCATCAGGAGCGCTCTGACCCTTCACCATTTATACCTAAAAATCTAAAACTAGACCTTCTGTCTTTTCTCCACAGGGTCAACTGGATCATTGGTGTGAAAAGCAGTGGTCAGGGAAGGGGAAACTTTTGGTATTACAGCTAGATTTGAATATAGGTGTGACTTCCGTTTTGATAGTTCTCTGTATCAGAAGTCTGGTGAAAATGAACAAGGGAAGGAATACTGGGTCCAGTATTTTACTACTGGCTTTATTTATTTATTTTATTTTAATGAAAACACTATTCTTTTGAAGATTTTATTTTTATATAATTTGTACACCCAATGTTGGGCTCGAACTCACAACCCCGAGATCAAGAGTTGCATGCTCCACTGACTGAGCCAGCCAGGCACCCCTCTATTTTAATTTTTTTTTAACTCTAAGAAAAAATTGTGGTAAGGTATGTCTAATATAAAATTGCAGTCTTAACAATTCAGTGTATTAATTATATTCACAATGTTGTGCCACCACTACTAGTATCTATTTCTAAAATTTTCATCAACCCAAACAGAAACTCTGTACTCATTAAGTACTATGAAACAATTTCAAGAGGAAATTAGGAAGAAAAAAAAAATCATAGTTTATAGAGGACTGACTTGCAAATGGTAATAAAAAGATCTAGTTAAAATAAATGAATGGATAATAGATCAAGTGCTTTATTATTTTATTTAACTTAGTCAAGATCAAATTAGGACTAGCTGCTGGGGAGCTGACTAGAAGTGGCAATGCAGCAAGCCAGTAGCCTGACAGCTGAGGATCTGAGCAAGCTTCTGCAGGGCGCTGCTTTCCTGGGTACTCTGCTGTCCATTCTGGCTCTGTTGCTTTTTCAGTTTCTACTTAAAGTTTGTTTTTTTCCTTCCAATGATGATGTAGAAAGAGAAAACAATGGCTATAAATGGGACTTAAAAGCTTACTTGGAAAAACCTAGAAGATGAAAAACAGGAAGAGTAGTTGGTATCCTAATTTTCAGGGGAGGAAACATACATGGAGAGGTTAGCAGGAACTCTGCAGGGTTGCTAGTGGGTGGGTCTGTATGTGACTTTAGACTGTGTAAGACTGTTCTTTCCACCGAACAAAGCCACCTTCCACTGGAGCTACAGTTTGCATATGGATTTTTCCCCCTTAACTTTATTATCATTATTTTTTTTTAAAGATTTCTATTTTGTTTATTTGAGAGAGAGCACACAAACAGGGGAAAGGGCAGAGGGAGAAGGAGAAGCAGGCTCTCCACAGAGCAAGGAGTCTGATGGGGGCTCGATCTCAGGACCCTGAGATTATGACCTGAGTCAAGGGCAGACGCTTCATTGACTGAGCTGCCCTTTTTCCCTCTTAACTTAAAAAAAATGTATTATCAAACAAAGAAGACTGATCGTCTTGATCCTGTCTACCATGATATGTTTTGTTTTGACCAGCTTCCTTACTATTTGGAGAAACTTTATATTATGTATACAATTTGTCTTAGTGAAGCAGTAAGTATGAAATCTGATCAAACTACAGCTTATAAATTAATACTACAAGAAAGAGAAGACTTACAACATATAACTTAATGGCTTGAAAATCCACCCAGTTTCTCTTTGTATTTTAAAACGTGGGCAGCCCTGGTGGCCCAGCGGTTTAGTGCCACATTTGGCCTGGGGTGTGATCCTGGAGACCCGGGATCGAGTCCTACGTTGGGTTCCCTGCATGGAGCCTGCTTCTCCCTCTGCCTCTCTCTCTCTCTCTCTTTGTCATGAATAAATAAATAAAACCTTAAAAAAATAATAAAATGTTTCCTTTGTTCTGTTGTAATCTTTTAAAGAATTAAAAAATATAGTAATAATCATAAGAAATAGTGAGTATGTGTTTTAACTTCTAGATGTATGTGGGGGAAAAATGAGGTTTTCTTACAAGAATGTAAGTAATCTTGCCTTGATTATAATTGCCAGAACTGTCAAAGTGACAGCAAAATAAGAAACAGTGTTGCTAACACTAACTTTCCCTGGAGGCATGCAAAAAAAGTTCCTGAGGTATAAACATCATGATCAAAAGTCATCTTATTCAATCCATATACAAAATAAAATTACTAATTATTAAAAGTTTATGATAGGTAGATTTCCCTGTCATGTTGGAAACCAGGGAAAATGTACAAAACCAAGGCACTATTTAGCAGAGGTGTTTTTAAAATTTCCTTTTGCTTTTAATTGCTCTTCTATTAAATCCCAAACTTACCTCTGCAATCTCTATCCTTTTTGCGAGGTCATCAAGAGAAAGAGAGCTGTCGTCGGAAGGCAGATCCTCTTGCAGACTGTAGGAGGCTTCTTCAGGAGAAAGATCTGGAAGGAGGTCTGAGTCTTCCTCTTGGTTCTCTTCACAGGACAGGGAGTCCTCGGTGTCTTTTAAGCAACCTTCTAAAAGGCTGTTCAAATAGTCTTCAGTCTCTCTGCTGACTCGATCGTCCTCATCCACCACCTCCTCCGGGGCCATACACACCCCTGGAGGAGCTGCACTTAAGACAGACACCTTATTACCCTCACCAAATGCGCTCTCAGAGCGCTGGGGGTCAGGCGGCCCCAGCGGTGATTTTCCATCGCTGTCTGGGAGATCGGGTTGCTGCAGCTCATTGAATTCCCTATGTTCCAGTCGGTCCGTGGGCAACGCCTCCGAAGCATCCTTAAGTGGTAAACGGAGTCCCTTTCTGTGAGTCTGTGAATATCTTCCCTCGGAGATCAGCGCAGGTGCTATGAGGTCAGAGCCGGGGGAGATGAGCGGCTCTCTCATGGACTCGCTGGGGAGCGCCACGGCGGGGTCTGCAGCCAGGCCTATTGTGGCCACATCTCCGCTGGGCCCCAGGAGAGGCAGCTGCAGGCGGCTGTCATCCTCGCAGGCGTCCCAGGACTGGGCGGGCAGTTCCCGCGGGGCCTCGGCGCTGCAGAGCGGCTCCTCCCCCCCGTGGTCCTTCCCTGAAGTTACAGGCAGGCGCGGGGGATCGGCCAGCCTGTCCATGTGAGGACAGCAGGGGCTACTCCTCTCCCGGGTTTGCTCTTGATGACGCTGGCTTTCTCCCCCTGGCACTGGCACCGCGCCAAGACAACTTTCACTCTCTGAAGATGAAGAAAAACAAGTTGTTTAAGGTTCAAAACAACACTTTGCACAGGAGGAAAGGGCAAGGGACAGATGTGAATAATACGTGTGACACAACAAAATTTGAAACCTCTCCAGTGGAAATTGCATCTGCTGGATTAATGGGGTCCTTAGAGAGAGGAAATACTCTAATATTATATATTAAATAACCCTTTACATATAGAAATTAACACTGTTCAGAACACAAATATGAATGCAGAGTTCTTCATTATTCATGGAACAATTTTTTCAAAGGTTGAAAGATGGTTTTTTGAACTTTACTGGCTTTCTATAATTCCTTTCATATTTACCCTCCATTTACCAACAGATAACATTTATGCTGTTGCTGATTTTTTCAGTTTTAAAAACTACCTACTGGGGAAGAAAAGGATTAGTTCTCTCGGTTCTTTCTATTCCTTTCCCCCAGTGGTATATTATTTCCCCTTCTCTAGCTTCTCACTACAATTCAACACAATTCTGGGGCAAATCGATATTCACATTTACCTTGCTATGGGTTTATAAGTAGTATTCACGACCGACTCACACGGACGGTGTAGTAGGATATATTTTCTTTTCTCTTTTCCACTTATTTTGCGTACTCTTGGTAACTGCCTCATTCTTTCATGTAATAAAAATTCTTGCTGGGGTGCCTGGGTGGCTCAGGTGTCTGCCTTTGGCTCAGGCCATGATCCCTACAGGGTCCTGGGATGGAGCCCTGCATCAGGCTCCTTGCTCAGCAGGAAGTCTGCCCCTCTGCCTGACACTCCCTCTACTTGTGCTCACTCTCCATCAAATAAAAAAAAAAAAAATCTAAAAAAAAAAATCCTTGCCTACATATCTCCAGACTCGGAGAGATATACAAGTATATCCTATGTATCAACAGATACAGGCAGAGGGAGAAGTAGGCTCCATGCATCGGGAGCCCGACGTGGGATTCAATCCCGGGTCTCCAGGATCGCGCCCTGGGCTAAAGGCAGGCGCCAAACCGCTGCGCCACCCAGGGATCCCTATACCATTAGTTTTAAAATATATCCTTCTTTGGGCAGCTGGCTAGCTCAGTCAGTGGAGCATGTGACTCTTGATCTCAGGGGTTTGAGTTTGAGCCTCACATTGAGTGTAGAGTTTACTTTAAAAAGTTAAAAAAAAAAAATCTTAAAGAAACCACACAAGATACCTTCTTGAGCTCCTAACTGGAGCTGCTCTCTAGGCCAGTTACACAGGGCTTGTCCTGGAATTCCCTTCCTGTGATCCTTGGAGTTCCCTTCCGTGATCCCTGGAATTCCCTCTGGTTCTGTGCTGGAAACATTGTTTCTGAATCCCAGGTCTTCCTCTTTGCTTATTCTCTTGGAATTTTTTTTTTCTTTTTAAGGCTTATGGAAGGTAAACCTAAGGTTGGTTAGATCTGAAAGTCTTTTCCTTCACCCCTGACTAAAATATTTGGTTGGGTCAAGTTTCCTATGTTGGAGACAATTTCCTTTCACAGCTTCTAAGGCACTGGTGTACTGTGTCCCGCTCTGGTAGGGCTTCGGAGTCTCTCAACTAATCTGAATGCCAATCTCCCATAACTTACATTTGCATCCTTGAAGATTTAGATTATTTTCCTTGTATCTGGTCCTGGTCCTGAAGCTTCTTTTAGTTTCTTTCTTTGTTTTGGGTACTTGGTGGGACTTTGAACCTGGAAACTCATGAACTTCAATTCTGGGAATTTTCCTGTATTATTTCCCTAATTATTTGTTGCTTTCTGTTCTCTCATTCTAGAATGCTTGTCTTCAGATCTGGCCTCATGGACTGCTCATCTTTACCTTTCCTGCCACACTCTTCCTCTTTGCTTTCGGATTAACTTTCGGGGATGCTGCCTCAATTTTTGACTTTTCTAATTAATTTTAATTTTTATTATTATTTTTTTAGAGAGAAAGTGCGTGAGAGTGAGGGGTGGAGGGGCAGAGGCAGACAGCGAATCTTAAGCAGGTTCCACACTCAACACAGAGCCTGACGTGGGGCTTGATCTCACGACCGTGAGATCATGACCTGAGCTGAAATCAAGAGTGGTGCACAGCTGACTGAGCCACCCAGGCATCCTGTAATTAATTTTTTATTGTGGGTATCATTCTTTTTAACTTCAAAGAGCATTTTCTTTCCCTGAATGTTTTTCTTATTTTAAAACAGCTCCTTATTCTTGTTTTTATGTATACAATATTCTCTTTAACATGTGACACTGTTCATTTATTTAAAGCTTTCATCTGTTCTCTCCATTTTATTTCCTTTGAGCTTCTTTGGGCTTGACGGGCTGATTTGGTTTTGTATTTCCTATCTGAGGCTTTCTTAAATGAGACAACATGCAGCTCTGTGGTTAAAGGCAAGTTCTCCAGGAGGAGTCAGTCCTCTGTATGGGAACCAAGAGGGCCTGGGCCATTTGCTGGGAGGCCTTTAATATGATTTTTTTTTTAAAGATTTTATTTATTTAATCATGAGAGATACACAGAGAGGCAGAGGCACAGGCAGAGAGAGAAGCAGGCTCCATGCAGGGAGCCCGATGTGGGACTCAATCCCGGGTCCCCAGGATCATGCCCTGGGCTGCAGGAGGTGCTAAACCGCTGAGCCACCCCAGCTGCCCTAATATGAATTTCAATATGAATATCTGGAGGTTTTATCTCCTGGACAAGTAGCCAGTGTCTCTGAGAGGAAGCAGGAGACCAGGGTTCTAGATAAGGCTCTTGCCATTGTTCAGGGGTTAAGATTTGCACTCAGTCCTCATTTTCTATATAATACCCCTTCCTTGAGTTGTGCCTGATGCACATCCACAGTTCTTCCAGTTCAGACGTTCTACGAAATAAACAACAACTTCCTGCTTGGTAGAAAGGGCTTATAAGGGATCCCTGGGTGGCGCAGCGGTTTGGCACCTGCCTTTGGCTCAGGGCGCGATCCTGGAGACCCGGGATCAAGTCCCATATTGGGCTCCTGGTGCATGGAGCCTGCTTCTCCCTCTGCCTGTGTCTCTGCCTCTCTCTCTCTCTGTGTGTGACTATCATAAATAAATAAATAAAAAAAAATTAAAAAAAATAAAAAAGAAAAAAAAAAGAAAAGAAAGGGCTTATAAATGTCTAAGCGTTTCTTGTAGAGTCTTTCGACCCAACCTCCCATTGCCAGTCCAACCCTGTATGCTGGACGTTAGAGGCACCTCTGTGCTTCCCATTCCCAAACCTTTCCAGGCAGGACTCGATATTGTTCCTGTAGACACTCAGCTTTCAGCTTTCTCTGGTGTAATAAGCTAGTTGCCATTCATCTACCTGCTTTCCAGCTTCTGGATCTTTCTGGATGTCACATCCACTGCTGTTTCCTTGCCAATTCTGTCACTGTGGGTTTCTGCCTTTAGGATGCATTCTAGGGGTGTCTGGGTGGCTCAGTCAGATAAGGGTCTGACTTTGGCTCAGTCCATGATCTTGGGGTGCTGGGATTGAGCTCTACATTGGGGTCCCTGCTTGATGGGGAGTCTGCATCTCCCTGTGATGCTCCCTCCACTTGTGCTCTCTTTCTGTCTTAAATAAAATCTTTAAAAACAAAACCCATAAAAACCAAAGAATACCTTTCTGACATTTCAATGGTGTTTCAAGAAAAAAATGAAGTTAAATGTTTGATCCACTCTGATTAATAAAAAATATTTTCTGAATTTTTGACGAGTATTCTAGTATAAAACTTATCATTGCTTATGTTTCTGTTAATATTAGCATGAATTTCTGTAATCGGTATTCCTGAACCCAAAGATCTAGGGAGTCTATTATTCCCAACTTCATTCACTTCACATCTACTAACAAAAACTCCACTTTGATTAAAAAAAAAAAAAAGAAAGAAAGAAAAATGGCTGAATGCATGACAGAGGCTTAATAGACCCTGAGTTAAAGAGTTCTAAAAGGAGCAGTTAGATTTAATCTAAATTCTAACACATAATCTACAGAAATGTCCCTGAGTTATTTCCCATTCTTCCATGAGTTCTCTTTCTTGTTTTAAAATTTTATTTATTTATTTATTTAGTAATCTCTACACTCACCACAGGGCTTGGGCTCAAAACCTGGAGATCAAGAGTCACATGCTCCTCCAACTGAGCCAGCCGGGTGCCCCGCCCAGGAGTTCTCTTTAGGGTAAAATTCCCCCAAAATTCATGATATAAGACTAAATCATTCATGAATGAACATGTATTTTCTGAATATCTCATTAATTAACATAAGTACAAACATGTGAATGATATCAGGACAGTACACTGAAAAAAATACTTAAACTAAGTACAAAATGTTGATAATGTCCAGCTTCTATAGAGGCGAATTCAAAACTAAAAATGTTCATACCCAGTCATCAGGGAAAAGCAAGTTAAAACCACAATGATATTCATGTTCCTAAAATGACTAAATTAAAAAAAAAACTGACAACAGTAAATGTCAGCAAGGATGTGGAGCAACCAGAGTCCTCACATACCACTGGTGGGTATCCTGGAGAATAGCTTGGCAGTTTCTTAGAAAATTAAAAATGTACCTTCCCTATGACCAGCAATTCCACCCTCAATTCTTTACTTAAGAGAAATGAAATCATATCTCCACAGAAAAGACTTCACAGAAGTTCTGTTCATCCCCTCCGCTGCTCATGCTCTCTCTTAAACAGATAAATAAATACAATCTTTTTCAAAAAATTAGAAGTTTTATTCATGATATCCCCAACATGGAAACAACCCAAATGTATATTAACAGGTGAATGGATAAACAAATTGTGGTATAGTCTAAGAGTAGAATACTACTCAGCAATGAAAAGGAATGAACTAATCATACGTGTAACAAGATGGTGCCTCTGGAAAACTATGCTGAGAAATTCTATTTACAGTAAATTCTAAAGCAAGGAAAACCTACCGATAGTAACAGGAAGCACTGGGTTGCCTGGGCCTGGGTGGAGGAGGGACTGATTGTAAAGAAGACTGGGAAGAAGATTTTGGCATGATGAAGATGTGCTTGGGGTAATAGTTATATGAATGTATACAGTTGTCAAAACTCCTCAAATTACACACTTAAAATGGTATTTTTTTTGTATGGAAATTGTGCTTCAATAACATTGAAAAAAAATGGGAGGGGAGGGGCATCTGGGTGGCTCAGTCAGCTGAGTGTCCCACTCTTGATTTCGGCTCAGGTCATGATCTCAGGGTCATGACATTGAGCCTCAGTTGGGTTCCATGCTCAGCGGGGAGTCTGTTTGAGAGTCTCTCTCCCTGGCCTTTTTGCCTTCCCCACTGCTTGTGCATGAGTGCTTGCTCTCTTTCAAAAAAATAAATAAAATTTTTAAAAATTAAAAATAAAAATAAATAAAAAATGAGAAGGGAAAGAGAAGTATAAAACCCAGGCTCGGGCAGCCCAGGTGGCTCAGTGGTTCAGCGCCGCCTTCGGCCCAGGGTGTGATCCTGGAGACCCGGGATCGGGTCCCATGTCGGGCTCCCTGCATGGAGTCTGCTTCTCCTTCTGCCTGTGTCTCTGCCCCTCTCTCTCTGTCTCTCTCATGAATAAATAAATAAAATCTTAAAAACAAAAACAAAAACCCCAGGCTGATGGTTTTTTTCATCAGTGGGGTGAAAGTAGGGGATGGAGCAGATGGGAACACAAAGATAGTTGTAACAAGCAACAGTAATTCGGTCCTTTGTTGGGTATTAGTCTTACATATCTTCATTTTGTTGTTTGTGATAATGTATTGTGTAGCATGTGATTTTTTACAAATAAAATGTTACCTGATAAAGAAAAATATAAATTAATAAAATACCTGGACTTCAGGGTCAGAAAACTAGGGTCTGGACTTGAGTTCTAATGAATTCTATTCCTGGATAAGTTACTTCCTTGAGTTTCTTAAAATAGATTCAGGCTAATTTACATTGGTTGTTAAGAGGAACAGATGAAATAATATATATAAAAGTATTCTGAAAATACAAAATACTGTGTAAATTACTTGAAGACTTAACAATGGTAGATTGTAATGAATACTACATAGAGGACATTAACAGAACACCATTAGCAGGGGCAGTGATAATGTGAAGAGGAGGAAGAGAAGAAAGAGCAGTGAGCATATACTGAGTTCTGCTCTCGGGGCAGGTTCCGTTCTGAACTTTTTTTTTTTTTTTAAGATTTATTTATTTATTTATTCATGAGAGACACAGAGAGAGAGAGAGGCAGAGACACAGGCAGAGAGAGACGCAGGCTCCATGCAGGGAGCCTGACATGGGACTTGATCCCAGGACTCCAGGACCACACCCTGGGCTGAAGGCAGGCACCAAACCACTGAGCTACCCAGGGGATCCCCCCCCGGGATCCCCACCCCCCGCTCTGAACTTTTAACATGAAATGACTAGTTGAATCCTCACAAAAATCCTATGAGGTAAGTACTATTAGTGTTCACATTGCGGAGCTGAGGAAAGAGAGGCCCAGAGAAGTTAGGCAACTTGTCTAAGGTCACACAGTTTTACATGGTGGAGACAGGATTCAAACCAGACCAGTCTGGCTCCAGAAACAGTATCTTTAACATTTACACAAAAAACGGCAAGTTACATATTATAGAAAGAACTTAAGAACAAGGAATTTGGAGATAAAGAACAAGAAAAGGCAAGTCTAGATTGGACTACATGTCGGATGTTGTTAAAAATGAGGAATATGAGGTAAAACAAGAAAAATACATTTAATAACAATCATTTAAAGGATTATTTTCATATTTCTACTTTTCTCACATTTCTATGCATTTATTCAGAAAATAACCAACCTGAGGAAATTAATTCTGGGAGAGGTGACACTCTTCTTTAAAAGATACTGTTTTATCAGACATGGCAAGATTTCTCTCCCCAGAATTTACCTTCCTCCTGAGATGGTTGTCAGGGGAGATGTCTGCATTAGGAAAGTCTTGATGATGCATACAACTTACTCAGCAGAAGGATGCTGCATTCAGTTGTAAACCAGAAGACACAGTTTTTTTCTTTTCTTTTCTTTTTTTTTTTTGAAGACACAGTCTCTAGTTGTGAGTCAAAGCACAAGGAAGTGACTTGAATGTGGTAGCTCAGTTTCCTCATCTGTACCACATATCTCACAGCAGAGGCCTAGCTAGAAAGCTAGAAATAGTGTTGAGCCTGAGCTGCAGCAACCGGTGCTACCGGTCAAACCAACCAGCCAGTAACAGCAGTCTTCCCAAAGCACAGACCATGGAGACAGCCATATCCAAAGTGGGAGGCTATTTTGTGAATTCCTCCCTCTTTAAGATCTTTATAAAGCTAATTTTACTATAATTTCCAATATAAAAATGACTGGAAAAAGAGACAGCCACTATACATAGTATAGAGGTTCCTCAAAGAATTAAAAAGATTTACCATATGATCCAATAATTCCTGATACTACTGAGTATTTACCCAAAGAAAACAAAAACACTAATTTGAAAAAATGTGCATTCCTACATTTATCACAGCATTATTTACAATAGCCAAGATATGGAAGCACCTCAAATGTCCACTGACAGATGAAAGGATAAGGAAGATGTGGTATATCTACAATGGAATATTAGCCATCAAGAAGAATGATATGTTGCCATTTGCAACAACATGGACGGATCTAGAGAGTATTATGCTAATTGAAATAAGCCAGCCTGAGAAAGACAAATACCAAATGATTTCACACACCTGTAGAATCTAAAAAACAAACGAATAAACAGACAAAACACAGAATCAGACCTATAAATACAGAGAATGAACTAATGGTTGTCAGAGAGGAGAGGGCAGGAAGGGCAAAATGGGTGAAGAAGAGTGAGAGATACAGGAATGAAGAAGCCAAAGGAATAAAAGGTACACTGTAGGAAATATATAGTCAATGATACTGTAATAGCATTGCATGATGACAGCTAGTAGCTATACTTATGGTGAGCCCAGCATAACGTATAGGGATGTCCAATGTTGTGCACCTGAAACAAAGGTAACATTGTATATCAACATACCCCAAGTAAAGAAAATCACAAACATACTTGTAGGACTTAAAACTTAAAAAAAAAAAAAAAGGTGAAGGGAGAAAAAGGAAGAGAAGTTTGTATTTCAAAATACAAAATATGGAATATAATTTTATTTGGAGAAAACTTCAATTTGTTAAAAAAATGAAAAAAAGAGAAGAGACAGGAAGAACAGAGAATAGTAGGATGGACTTGAGGCAATATCCCAAATTCACCTCACAGAAGAAGAGGGAATAATGATGTAGAGGGGGAAGAGGCTTTGTAAAGAGAAGACAGCAGATTACATTCAAGGCATCGTCATCACCATCATCTTAACTCTTTAGGCAACTCAAACACCTGATGCTGCATGTTTACTAGGACAGGTCTCAGGCCCAGGAACATGGAGCCTCAGAATATAAATCAGCACTAAAATCATACGTCAGGAAAAACAAACACCCTAAAATGTAGTTATTTATTTTCTAAAGTATGTATGTATGTATGTATGTATTTATTTTTCCTAAAATTTTTATAATGAACATATATTAGTACTGTAGGAGTTTCTAAAAATCTTTGGGCTTTTAGCATAAGACACAGAAAGTGGTATAAAATATAAATGCTTTAGAAATGTATACATGGAAATTAAATTACACCATAAGTTAGTTTATAAGAAAGGGGAAGAGAAGATAAAAAACCAAGAAACAGAGCTCTTAAATATCTAGATTTACAGCATAAATTTCTGGTCAAATGTGTACATAATTGCTGGTTTTTTATTTTTTAATTTTTATTTATTTATGATAGTCACACACACAGAGAGAGAGAGGCAGAGACACAGGCAGAGGGAGAAGCAGGCTCCAAGCACCAGGAGCCCGATGTGGGATTCGATCCCGGGTCTCCAGGATCTCGCCCTGGGCCAAAGGCAGGCGCCAAACCGCTGCGCCACCCAGGGATCCCTAATTGCTGGTTTTTAAACAGAAAAGTGTATCTGAATATACCAAAACCAACTTTGTTTCAGAGTATTTTTGTACAATTTTGTCATACTCAGATAGATATAACTGAAAGATAGATATATACTGAAAACATGGAAGTAACTTTGTTTCTATAAGAATTTAGATGTTACAATTTCCATGACTAGATATCTAAAAATAGGGTTATACAATATAAAAAGATTCTCGCTTTGCAATTTGTCTGGTAGGAGAGGTATATGCAAAAAAATGTAAATGCACAAATAGTCCTTGTAACACTTGCAAAATTTAAGAGGCGGGTGCCTCTTACAACCCTTTCTTTCTTTTTTTTTTTTTTAAGATTATTTATTTATTTATTTATTTGAGAGAGAGAGAGAGAGAGAGAGAGAGAGAGAGAGAGAGAAAGAGAGGCAGAGACACAGGAGAGGGAGAAGCAGGCTCCCTGTAGGGAGCCCAAGAAGGACTCCATCCCTAGGACCCCAGGATCGCACCCTGAGACACCCAGGTGCCCCTCTTACACCTCTTTCTAATGTAAAAACATACCCGGCTCTTTGGCTGTGGCTCCTCTTTCCTTTGGATCCTCAGAAACTATTAACTGTGTAAAGCATTTCCTTCCCAGAGGTTTTTCTACAGCTGCTATCTAAAAAGTTAAAAAACAAAAACAAAAACAAAAAACTTGGGGAAATTATTCCGTTAAGTTAGAAAGCTGAAAATAATTTGAGAAAGGTTTGATTATTTCCTAAAACAGTCCACACAACAGACATAAGAGTTAACATTTTGCCATAAATATTTTCGAGGAAACAGTCTCTTACCTTATGTTTGGATAAAAGAGGACTGTAGAAAAAAAAAAAAAAACAAGATTTAAAAAAAATTACAGCAGCAATATGCTTCCAAACAAATGTCACTGAAATGGCTGTAAAAATAACATATAGCTTCTCTGGATTCTAATATTAGCACAGAACATTTCCAGGGCTGAAACATTACCACTGGTTCACACAGTTCAAAGGGCAGCTCTATCATGTGTTACTTTCTCAGCTAGCCAACTACTACTGAAAACCCCCAAAGAAGCTGTGAATACTTAGCCCCAGAAAAAAAAAGAATATTAATATGTTGCTAATAATGTAAAGAGTATTTTATACACATATTTTCAAAATTCCAGTTTATGTCATTATAGCCTGAAACAGGTTATGATAAAAGATAATTTTATTGGCATTATCCATGGAAACGGGCAACAAAAAAAGGAATTTTTAAATATTATGTGTTTTAAGGGGATATCAAGGATAAGAGAATGTATTTGTCCACAGAAAAGGTAGGCACACAAATATTCATAGCCATTTAATTCATAATACTCAGAAACCAGAAACGATCTGAATGCCTGTTAACAATATCATGGATAAATAAATTGATACACAATCACACAGTGTATCTGCACAGGAGTAAAACCGAGCTAATTACCATTACATGCAACAACATGGAACACAGACCTAACACAATGATGAGCAACAGCAGTTAATGCAGAAATCTGCATTCTGTATGATTACGTTTATAAGAATTACAGAACAGGCAAACAGACTGTTATGGAGCTTAGGTAGTGGTTATTTTGGGGAGTGGGTACTGACCTGGTACAAGCATGAGGGATCATTCTGAGGGGCTGGACTATTCTGTCTTGGTCAGTGGTAGTTCCATAGACATATATGTGTATATAAAAACTCCCTGAACTTCTGCATTTTCATGTAAGTAAATTAAACACTACTTTTTATAGTAAAAAATTTGGGGGGTTATCCAAATTTAAAGCTAAAAGTGCTGTGCCAATATTATATGAAATAAATATTTGTTTTTAAATAATTTAGACAACTCCAACACATTTAAAAACTATGAGTTCCATGGGTAAGACAGGGAAAGTGTCTGTTCTGAATATTTTGAAAAAAAAAACCAATCTCCTTTATCTGTCGTAAAAGATTCCATTATTTTAAAAGTCTAAGAAGTTAAACATTAATTTATTTAACATCCTAATAAACTAGATTATAATGCAGAGTCCCTAAAAATATTGTTTCAAAGGTTCAAATCAATGGAAGAAAACTATCATGTTTCATCAATGAGCAACATTTTTGAATCTACAAAGATTCTTCAAAGGCTGGTCTCCAAAATAATTAGACCCTAAAGCAACTATCAACTAGTGAGCTAAACAACAATTACTTGGGTCTGTTTCATCAGTGACAAATACACTTTTAGTTTACTTCTTTAGTTAATTTTGGTGGAAAAGGAGAAAAAGTTATCAACAGAATGAAATCTTCTAGCTTCTGTATCAAGGATTCTTATACATCCCAGACATCTGCACTAGTTTAAACACTACCAAGTCCCCTCACCTTCAGAATTCTGAGTCATAGAATAATGAATTCTGAAAATATATTTATTTATTTTTTCCGAAAATATATTTAAGTGCTTTATTATTACTATAATTTAGTTTTGAAATCCTAATTTTTGATACAAATCGAGCAATTTAAAATTATCTGGTAAGTGTAAAAAAATAGCTGGTAAATGTAGCTTTCCTTTTGCAGTATTTTGGTTAAGTATCATACTGTTTCTACATCCCACTATTGGACAAATCTTACAGATTTTTTTTTACAACAGCCTACAAACACTGGCAAACAAGTATAAAAAAAAAATCCTAATATACAACTTTCTTCTATTTCAATCACCTAATTTCTTAACCAAAAAGAGATCAAAACTAGAAGTTATATATTTTAAAATTTCTGATTAGAAGGTGCTTTAAACTTATGTAAAGTTGAACTTTTACTTACTTCTCTCTCAGAAATTATAATAGAAGCTGAGAAAGATAAAAGCTAATCAGATAGAAGCTGGTAAAAGCCAATCATTTTATTTTACCTGCTTTAATTTCTCCAGCTGAAAACATTAACAAATGAAAAATGGATCATGAATTTCAGATAGCCAGCACTACAATGCTTCAATACTCTACTCCAACTCATTCTACACAAATACTGATGTACTTACTCTTGATGTGTTGTGCAAAATTTGGTAAGCTGTTCAAAATCTTCACCATTAAATCCTTTTTCTGAATTCCTTAGAGATGTAACTGTATGTGGTTGTACAGTTTTCCATTTTGTTTCTAAATTTAAAATATTTGTTAATTATTAGCTACTACCAAACATATTTAGGGGGCAAAAGTAGTTAACTAGTACCACTGATAAAGATCTCCATGCAAAATTATCTTCTCATGCAACCCAAGTTATTAACACAGAAATAACTAAGTGACTACTTTTCACTATGAGTAAATATTATCTCAGAGACTAAATTAGCCAGAGGGCATGCCAAGGAATCAGAAGAAATGCAAACAGTTTTAAGTGTTCTTTTCTTGGCATTGATGCAAAGAACAAAATACAAAGAGAGAAATTTTCTCACAATGACATCACATTTGTGGTAAAAATGCTACTTTCTTTGCAACATTAACTTGACTATGGAAACATCTATTTCCTGACTTACAAAAAGCCAGGTCAAATATGTTAAATTTCTAGATAGGAACATGTCAGATTACTGATAATTGCACATCCTATGGTAGCCTGTACTTACCCCACTCTTCTTGAATGGCAGAGAGATTTGCGAGCAACTTCTCATGATACAGTCGTTCAAGCTGAATGAATTTCATTGCTTTCTCATCTGAATAGAAAATTTGAGGAAAATAGAAATCCAGACTCTTTACACGTAGCTTCTTATTTGAAGAACAATGTCCAATCAAAACTGGGAAATTTGGAGCTTACCAAAAAAATGAAAGCACTCTAAATATTTTTAAATTAGGGTTTCTTGGTTTGGAGTAGGTTAAGTTCAATGTGGCATGTGATACCATAGCTACTCGGGTTCCATTCTATCAGCAAACAAACTAAAAGAAGGTTTTAATGTTGAAGGAATGCCAGCTTACCAGTATATCTCTGGCAGAATCAATTAAGGGTAAGTGAATTGGAAACAGACCTACATGGAATCCTGGAATCTAAACGTTTCCCATTTTTTCCCTCTCCTAAAATCACTTTCTGTCAAGCAGCTACATTACCCTCTGGTCAAATGTGTGTTCCTGATTTCAGCTCATCTTGACTCTACTTATTTCTCACTGAATGCTTTTCTCCCATAAGACCAAAGGCTTACTAGCCAAAACAAGGACAGAGTACAACATTATATGGATCTTTTGTAAAAATTTAATTAACTAAAAAAAAAAATTAACTGGCCAGAGTGATTTTCATAGTTATGTGCTTCTACTCTTTTGTAGATTTTCTTATAAGCTTCTGCCTTCTCCATCTGTATCACATACTTAGCATCATATGAGGTCGTGCTAAATTGTCCAACTGTCTATCTTCCTTTGGGCCATGTTCTAAATGTTGACCCAGAAAGAGAGAAGAGGAAAAACTCACTGTTTAGCTATTTGCTCTTCCCATGAACACTTGGAGATTCAGCTCTCTCTCTCTCATCTGTAGTCTTCAAAATATTCCAGGATCATTAAGTAGGGCAGGGAGAAGTGGGGACAATTCCATTTTCTATGACTTAAAGTATGCCAATGTTTCTCAAACTTCACTGAACATAAAAATCAGGGCAGCCTGGGTAGCTCAGTGGTTTAGTGCCACCTTCGGCCCAGGGCTTGATCCTGGAAACCCCAGGATCGAGTCCCACATCAGGTTCCCTGCATGAAGCCTGCTTCTCCCTCTGCCTGTGTCTCTGCCTCTCTCTCTCTTTCTCTCTGTGTCTCTCTCATGAATAAATAAATAAAATCTTTTAAAAAAATAATCTGAAAACCTTGCTAAAATGCTATTTCTGGGTCTGACCTCCAAAAGCTCTGATGCTAAGGCTCATGGGTTTGCACACTAAGAAGTTCCTCGGGATGTGGATGCTCTTCTGCACTGCATTGCATCGTGCTCATTATTTGGTTAGAAAAAGAGTTTAGCTTCCCTTCCACCAGAATTAGATCTCCTGTGCACTTAATGATGCATTGCTGTTGTCTGAAGTGGTGACCACAGTTGGTTTGATAGGGGTCAAGATCATAACTGCATTTCCCTCAATCTGCTTAGAGATGTGGTAAAAGTCAACAAGACTGGGAGGGAGTTGAAATCACACAAATGGGGAAACACAGATGTTTAGGGCACATTCCTTCTAGAGAATCTATACTGGGCCATTCCTAGAAAAGAGAAGCAATTTTTACAAAGGGCAGTTGGAAAACTGAGTAAAGAAATGTTTCCTATACAAAAGCTAATATGCAGTCTCACTTGACAGCATCTGTTCTGTTTATTACAAGTGAAGAATTCAGTCTTCCCTTTGCAGCCGAAAGCTAGAATAAGACAGTCACGAGATTTACTGTGTGTAATATGCTCAACAGGCTCTACCATATGAGTATCACTTGACTTGCACTTCTGTGTTAATTCAAAAGAAAGAAAACCCAATGGTTTTTTAAATTATATTTTCCAGCACTGTGTTCCCCCTCCCACAACACACAAATATTTAGATTGTGGTAAAATTGGAGCTTCTTCACGGAAGGCCAAATTTAGGTGGTTCTAGAGAATTTTCTGGAGTGGCAGGAATTCTCTATACCTTGCTTTCTGAGGTAGGTACATGGGTGCACACAGCTGTTAAAATCCATTGAAAACAATTATACACACACACATACATATATATAAAAATTCTCTCTCAACTATATATTTTATATATAAAAACTATATATATAAAACTATACACACACACACACACACACACACACATATATATGTAAATCTCAGTTCAAAAAAATGAGCAGTTCTCTATGCATCCTATGAATTTCTTCCTGTAATAAAGAAAAGGATACAGTCCTCCTCCTGGAAATAGGATTCTGCTATCTGTTAAAAACAAACAAAAAGACAGGAAGTTAGATTAATAGTCGGATGAGAAGGCACAAAATTAGAACCTTGACACTCTCAAAGTCTCTGATATCAAACTAAAAAAACTCTGAACTACACCTACCAGTTGAGAAGAAATCTGACTGTAGGTATAGTACACATTTCTTGAAGTCACTGATTGCAAGAAGCAAAGCAGAGACATTCTTTGGTCTTTATAGCAACCCCTCTCTCCTTATTCTATTTCAAATCAAGGCTAACTTCATCAATTCATTAGAGTTTAGAAATAAGAATTTCTTAAAGACTGAGGAAAATACTGTGGGAGCTTATAAAGGTATAACACAGGTAAAAGAGTGACTCTGTGTTCTAAATAAAAAAGTTAAGATGTGTGGGGCGCCTGGGTGGCTCAGTCAGTTGAGCCTCGGCCTTCGCTCAGGGCATGATCTCAGGGTCCTTGGGATTGGGCCCCAAGTCGGGCTTCCTGCTCAGTGGGGAGTCTGCTTCTCTTTGTGCCTCTTCCCTCCACCTCATGCTTATGCATGTTCTCTTTCTCTAATAAATAAATAAAATCTTAAAAAAAGAAAGTTAAAATGTGTCAAGTCACCTAAGACTCATTTGTATTTCACCAAGTACCTCATGGGACACTGACTTTTGACTTTTGGTTCTCTTTCGATATTTCAGAAAATGCAGGGTCAAGTGCTAAGAGTTGAGCAATGATATCTGGAATACACAGTGCAGCACAGGATAAAGGGCACTGGATAGAGGGGTCCAGAGTCAGAATCTTGTCCTAGTCAAGGCTTATCAGTTACCAGATTCATTCTAAGGCATATTTAAATTAAGAAATTCTTTGATTCTAAACATTTTGGGATCTTTTAGTAATACCTTTATTTAGATATAGCATTTATAAATAGAACAACAGTAAAACTATTCACCGAGAAATACTTGCACAAACTGTTGTCATATTTAGAATATTTCATGTAAATACTTTATACTTTTAAAATAGTTTCGTTCTGGGGACACCTGGGTGGCTCAGTGGTTTAGTGCCTGCCTTTGGCCCAGGGCGTGATCCTGGAGACCCGGGATTGAGTCCCGCATTCGGGCTCCCTGCAGGGAGCCTGCTTCTCCCTCTACCTATGTCTCTGCCTCTCTCTCTCTCTGTGTCTCTCATGAATAAATAAAAATAAAAAATATAAAAAATATAAAATAAAAAAAAATAGTTTCATTCTAAGTCTCTAGTAAGAAAGGTGTCCCATCTATAGGTCCCTACCACCATTTTCCAGCCAGCTGCCACTGCAAACAGCAACACAGTACTTGTCAAACCTATAATCTAGCAACAAAAAGAAATGGTTTTTCCCAAATCCCACAATGAAAACAGCATACTTTTAAAGGAAAATATTTGCCTACCTTAAAATTTATACTATAACTCTAACAGTTTTCCATGAGCAATATACAACTGGACTCAATCACCTTTTGGTAAAGTTTTAGTTTAACCTAATCTTGATCCATACTGACTCTCTACTCTGAGGACTTTGCAAAGGATAAATTGCTTCTCAAGATTCTGCTTGTCTTTTGACAGTTCATCAACAATATGACAGTACTAACCAGAACTGAATCAAACTGTCAATATTTAACCAGTTTTACTTATAAAACAAGAATTTCATATACTACAACCAGTAATGGGCTGACACACAGCCTACATTTGGCTCTAGAGTACTGGGGAGAGCCCTGATTTGTAGCGTCTTCTCATTTCTGTGTTGTCAATACTTCTATCATAGCCAGTGTCAAGCTACCATGATGGACCACTGAATATGGTTCTCATGAGCTAGTAGTAGCGAGCTCCAGCACACTACTGGGTTACACCTAATAGAAATCACCAACATTTCATTTATCAACTTCCAGTGAAAAAAATCTCTTGCATGGCACATAGTTTCTCTTCTGTACATCAAATACTGTTTCAGGTTGCCCATGAAGATTAAATTTCTGGCTCTTCAAAGCTACTCTCCTTGACTTTGTGCATTTGTGTACCATTGGCACATAGTTATTTATAAAAAGCTTCATACTTTTATAAACCAGACTTCCTGGCACTACAGAAATCCAAATTTCAATTAGCTTTCAGATCTCTGTGACAGTTCCAATACCATAAAAACAACTATAAAGGTATCTTGACATCCAATGTCTCAAAGTAATAGGCATTTCTAGGTGAAAAAGCAGCTGAGGAAAATAAATACCTAAGCCATTTCCACTATAGAAACACACCCCTGGCAAGTCCAGCAGGGCAAGAGCAGACGGGATTTTCTTTGATGTCCATATATCTAAATCTGGGAAGTAGCCTGGTAGAGCAAAAAGAACATGAGGCATGGAGATGAATAACGACTGCATTCTGGTCCAAACTTTGCCACTGTTAGTCATGTGACTTTGGACATGCAATGTCTCAAGCCTCAGCTTCCTTATCTGTGCAACAGGGACAATAATACCTATAATTCTGCAAGACAAGGATGCTAGGCTACTGTCAGGATTAAGTGAGGGAATGCATATCTAGGGTAGTGGTCATCACATAGCAGTAAGTGCTGAAAATGATTTTTGAGTCAGAGTCTGAACCAGAAGTGCAAGATGCAGAGTAGAATCATCTGAAGAAGTAAGTTGACAATCACTTTGGGAGGGTAATAGTTTTAAGGTTATTCTGGCTTCAGGATTCTTTTACCTACCAGAAACCAGAAAAGGGAAGAAGGAAGGTCTATTTTTTTACCACAGTCACAGAGACTGGCTTCAAGGATCCCAGTGGGTCCATTTCCTGAGTCTGACATCAGTTCTAGTACAAATTCACTGAGCAGAGTACCACACTTGATGCTTTTCCTCTGACTTCTATATGAAAAGCTTCCATGTTTATGACTTCAGTTATATACTTAGAGCTAACCTGTAATCATATTAACTAAGTATACAAAAGATTACTCATACTGAGAACAAGAATTTTAAAATGGAATCTTCAAGAGTTTCGAGAGCTAAAAATACAAATATATAACTGATGTAACTGTAGTTATGTTTCCAACAGCCTTTAGCACATATTCACTGATGGAATATCACTTCAAAAATAACAACTGTCCCCAAAGGGACTCTCCCTCTCCAATTCCTCATTTCTGTTATTGGAACTACCACTCATCCAGTCTGGATCTCCTGGCCATCTAGGACTTCTCACATCTGCTTTCCTATCCACATCAAGTTCTAGGGATTTTTCCTTCAAAGGGACTGCAATCCATCTCTCTCTGTAGCCACTACAATGACTGTAACCAGCATGCTTTTCTCACCTTATACTTGAATTATAAATATCTCCTTTCAGTTATTCTCATTAAAATTGTGCATGCATGTGATTTAAGGAGTCAAATACTCCTATTATATGTGTTCACAAAGCCCTCCTCCCTCTTGCCCTTTTCTCCTTTCATTGGGAATAAGTGCTCAGAGTTCTTCATTTTTTTTTTCTTTTAAACTGTATATTCCTAAACATGCCTATTTTGGCCACTTCTGGATTTTAGATTTTAGAAGGTGAGGACTGAGTCTTTTGTTCCCTTGGGGCTGCTATTTAGCAAAAGGAGGAAGACTAGGGAAGCAGAAGATTTGGGAGAATGAAATCAAAGTTTGATTTCATACATCTTAAGTTTGAAGTGCTCTTTTAGACATGTCAGGCTGGATATTTAAGCCTGGAATTCAGAACTGCATACTGAAATGCTCCAAAGTGTAAAAATTAGTGAAATTTATGGGGTACCTGGATGGCTCAGTTGGTTGTACATCTGCCATTGGCTCAGGTCATGATCTCAGGGTCCTGGGATCAAGTCCCACATGGGGCTCCCTGCTCATGGGTGAGCCTACTTCTCCCTCTCCCTCCACCTCTCCTCCAGCTTGCTTTCTCTCTCTCTCTCTCTCTCACATGAATAAAAAAAAAAAAGAAAAAAAAAAGATTCCTGGGCTCTTTGTGTCAGTATAAGTTAAAAAAACAGAAAAGGCAGGGACTGTTTCAGATTACAGAAGACTAAAGAATCCTGACGACCAAATGCAATGTGGGGTCTTTCATGGGATCCTGGGTTAGGGGAAAATTAGTTACGTTTGTGAACAATGTGAGGGAAACCCAACTACAGACTGTCTGTGGAATAATACTCAGATATCAGCATCTCACCTCTTGCAGGAAATGTTGGGGAGCAGCTGCTTGCTTGGAAACACATGTACATGTATTTAAGGGTGATGCCATCAAATGCCTGAGGATTACTTTAAAACGTTTCAGTGGAAAGCATGTGTGCAGGTGATGGGGGACACAAAAGTTTGGCAAAATGTCAATGACTAACAAATCCAGGTGAAAGAATCAACATGAGGGGCCGGGAGTTACAGAAATTCATCAAACGTCCTCCATCTCTCCTGGATTTGTGTCTCCCTTGGGAAGCGATGGAGAGCTTGTATTCCTGGACTGACGAAGGAACTATCAGCTGGCTTCTGCTGCCCCGCTGATCCCCAGCCTTCACTCCTAATAAGGAATCCTTGAATTAGTGACAGTGAGGGTACAGTCATAATGCTTAATATCTATTTGGCTCTTACTGTGTACCAAGCATTATGTTAAGTGCTTTTACACGCATTATTTCATTTGATCCTCCACCACTTTACAGATCAAACTGAAAGCCATTTATATTGTTAGTGGTGGAGCCCAAAGCCCTGCTTTTAAACCATCACCATGCTCTCTAAGCCCCTTCTGTCAGGGGAGGACAGATTGCTGAGATAGTTAAGAAGCATGACTTACAGGATTCAGCAAACTGATATGTTTCTCAGGGATGGAGGCAATGGAGAATTTTAGTTTGACACATAAAAAAATTAAATAAGGGGTGCCAGGCTGGCTCATCGGAAGAGTATGCGACTCTTGATCTCAGGTCATGAGTTCGAACCCCACTTAGGGTGTAGAGATTACAAAAAATAAAAATAAATTAATAAATAAACTTTAAAAACTTTAAATAATCTTCAGGTCTGATCCAGATCTACTAGAACTGCTCTGGCTGTGGGATCATATACCAGTAGAAAAGAGCACCTTTAATATAACAACAGCCCAGTGACATAAACTCCTTGAAAAGATTTGACTACATTTGCTATTTCCATCTTTACTCCAAATGTCCTTTTCCTCAACTTTTTATCGAAATTCTACAGAAGAGTTCAAAGAAGAATAAAATCAACAGCCATTTAGCTTTCACCTAGATTTGTCAAATGTTGACATTTTGCCAAATTTGCTTTTTCTCTTGGTCTTTCCCTCTCTTATATACGTTTCCTACTGAAATATAAGTAATATAAGTGAAAATATCATAATACAGGCACTTTTTTGCTTCACTCCCAAATACTTGGGCATGTATCTCTCAAGAACAAGGATACTGTCCCATAAAACCTACAATTCTGTGATGCCTGGGTGGCTCAGCGGTTGAGCGTCTACCTTTGGCTCAGGGCATGGTTCCGGAGTACCGGAATGGAGTCCCACATCAGACTCCCTGCATGGAGCCTGCTTCTTCTTTTGCCTGTGTCTCTGCCTCTCTCTCCCCCCATGTCTTTCATGAATAAATACATTAAAAAAAAAAAAAACACCCTACAATCCTATTACCAGTCTCAAGAAATTAGGGCAATAATGTTAATATACAGCCTATATTCAAATTTCTCCCACAGTGTTTCAAAAACAGAGACACTAAATGGAATAAAGAAATTTGGCTCCAGAACTATAAGGAAATTGCTTGGTGAGGGAGTCTTAGTTTCTCCATTATTTTCTTATTTTCATCTTAAAGGAAAAATTAAATGCATCTCATACATATCTTATTTTTCTGAATTAGCTCCTTGTCTCCTAATTTACTCTCCCAGTCATTGGCAGAGTGATTCTTCTAAAATTCACATTAGGTTTGGCACTGCCACCATTAAAAACCCCCAGCCCCTAGAAGGAAGGTGGTGATCACTGCCCCCAGCCATCTAGTGTCCATTCCCACTTCTTCTCCATCTTAATCTCCAACATCAGCTCAGCCATGCCTTTGCAGGCGCTGCTCTCTCTTCCTGCACCAATCCACTCAGTTCTTCTAGTGAGCGCCTACATACTCTGCAAACCCCAGCTCAGCAGTCACCTTTTTTTTCCCCTGATGCCCACAGAAAAAGTTAATCATGCATTTTGTGCTTCTGTGGAATCTTAAATATCTTTCTACACTTAGTACAGACATCTCCAATTATTAATCTCTAGAAATGTCTCTCCTATTCCACAGTTGCTTCCTTAAGGACATATTCTGATAAGTAATCTTTGCCCAGTATCTAGCAGAGTTTTTTTTGGCATCTTGTAGGTACTTATGAAGCGCTGCTATCCTGACTCTTACTCATACACAGCTAATTCACTACACAAAGGAAGTTAGTGATTGTCGGAACCGATTGATTATTCAAGGCCAGTTGTGGCCACCAGTAGTCACATGCTAAATTTCCCACCAGCCAGACCCACGGTCACCTCCTGGGCTCCCCAGTGACAAGTCAGGGAGGATCAATTACAGAGAATTTCATTTTCAGTGATTCCAAACCCTGGTCCCAGAACTGTAGTGAGGCTACAAGTGAAGGGTTTCATGGAGTACCTGGTGAAGGCAAAGGGGAAGTGCTCTGGAATCCAACTGCTCTACTTCCCCTCGTATGAGTGAGAATAGATACTGAAGAACTAGCTTTGGGGCTTCTGGTTGATCATTAGCATTTATTTCTGCAGACTCTTCATCACTCACAGCATGTGTGGACACACTTAGTGCATTTTCTTGCATTGAAGCTGTGGCAGCTCCTGAAGAAAGTCCTTGAAGAAGTAAATAAAATGCCCACATTAGGATAAAGTTTCATCATGATGGAATACCTTAAAATAATCATGCCTGCTAACCATAACATTTTCAAATAAAGCTAATCATATGGGGGGGGGGACCCAGAACCACAAGTTTTTATCCTCATTAAACTGTGCCATCATCTGCTTCTATGAGCACAAACATGAACCATTTTTTTGCAGACTTATAATTAAGAGTGTTAATAAAAAGAGATCTAAAGGACGGCAGCCCGGGTGGCTCAGAGGTTTAGCGCCACCTTCAGCCCAGGGCATGATCCTGGAGACCGGGGATGGAGTCCCACATCGGGCTCCCTGCATGGAGCCTGCTTCTCCCTCTGCCTATGTCTCTGCCTCTCTCTCTCTCTCTCTCTCTCTCTCTCTCTGTCTCTCTCATGAATAAATAAATAAAATCTTAAAAAAAAAAAGAGATCTAAAGGAAAGTATGCAGGTTAAAACCTGACCACAAACTTGATTCAACCAAAGGAAAAATGGATTAGCTGTAATTGGAAATCCTGGCTTGCTCAAAATAAAATAATTAAGCAGCAAAGTAAATACACTTATCATATAAAATGGCTAAGGAAGTTAAGCCCTTCTCTTTAAACTCTGGTCTGATAACTGTAGAACTACTTCTGGATCCCAGGAGAGCAACATGAATTCAGATGCCAGAGCTAATGGCCATGGAAAATTTTTTCATAATAAGAAGTTAAGTAATACAAACTTCTAAAAAAAAATCATCAATGAATAAATGCTTGGCCTGCAGCTCCTGAAATGATATACCAAATTTAAAAAGTTTAATCATTACATATTATAACTTCATCCTTCACTGAAGTCTCGGTATCTCTTCTAATTTTCATACTCAAAAAGATTGTCTCCATCTGTACATTTAGGTGATCAGCCTCAGAAGGGATCTTTCTCAGTAATTCAGTGTATGTACCACATTTGAGGATGCCCCCTGCAAACTCTCTAGAGTGTGCCCAGAACTTCTAAGTAAACCCACTGCTCTAGCCAGGCAGGTCAGTTCTTCATCTCCCTAGTAAAATATTCTGTACCTTTCTGAGCAATTACAGATTCTAACAGAATATTTTCTTCCCATTTATACCTATTAATGTTTACCCAAACAAAATCCACGTATTTATAGTATTCCATGGGCCTAATGTAAACTTACTTTCCTCTGAGTACTGTATATAGCCCTATATTATGCTGGACTGTATTACAGTGATTGATGAAAGGTCTCATCTTCATTAGATCAAAACTCCTACATCACAAAAATTAATTTATGGGCCATGGTTATTGTAATTACAACCGGCAGTGTCTTCAGCACTAAAATTCCAAGTACTGTGATTTCTAAAATTAATTATCTACACATTCTTTATATTTTAGAAAATTCTCTTCTATGAATTTTGTATCATTTAGGATAGGGAAATACAAGGCCTGGTGATAGCCTGCCATTTTGCAAGGATGGTATTTGTGAAAACAGGGATGATTCTACTTTCTAATTTTCTACCCAAATGGCAAAAGTGCCAGTGTGAGAAGAGAAGCTTTCCATAGAGAACTACAAAGAAACTAAGAGAACTACTGTTTCTTTCCCTTTTCCCTGGCCACACTAATATGTTCAAGACATTTAGTCTCATCCAGACTGTGATAAAGCCAGCCTCCCAAAGTCTATACTTCTCTTGATTAAATTCTTCCCATATAGTTATCAAATATTACTCCATGCTTCTTCCATGAAAAAAATGTAGGAATTATATCATGGTCATTTTCAGTAAAGGGGAATTAAATAAAACCCTTGAAGAATATTACCAAAGAAGGACCAGATTCTTAAAGGTAATGAAAAAGGACAGAATTTAAAGGAGGTCTCTGACTCTACAGGAGGTCAGAACAGGGTCTCAAATAGTGAACTAGAAACATGTACGGTGATTATCTCAGTTAGTTAGACAGTGTAGATTCATAATGGCCATGGTTCCTGCTAGATCCATTGTCAAGTTACTTTAATAATTAATGTTATGGATACATATAATTTATAAACATGCCATTTGTTGGTAAATAAAATTATGTAGCCAACAAAAGAAATTATAACAGAAAGGAGTATTAGTCATAAAACAAAACCAACAAAAGTTCCAAAAGCATATATACAAGCCAAAAGATTCCAAGAGCAATGGAAGGCTAATGTAAACAATTAGAATATAGTACTTTAATCACCAAGTGTAGGGAGGGGATGGAAAATATGAACTAGGCTCACATGGGTCATTCCAAATGAATTAAGAGTTCAGGGAAACTTGAAAGACTCATACCACAAAAAGATTATTTACTGGGGTTGAAGATCATGAGTTTCAGAGATAATTATCAAACTTACCTCTTAAGATAACATTCCTTGCTGGGACAGAGTAGTATAAATCAAAGAGCTCTAGAATAGGAGCAAGAGACATCAGTTCTGTCATTATTTTTCCAAGTGACCTTGGGTTAGACATTTTATTCTCTTTACTGTAGTTTCCTCATCTTGAAAATGAAGGGATTCAGGACACCTGGGTGGCTCAGTCAGTTAAGCATCTGCCTTTGGCTCAGGTCATGATCTTAGGGTCCTGGGGATCAAGCCCCGTGGTGGGCTCCCTGCTCAGTGGAGGTTCTGCTTCTCCCTCTCCACCTGCCCCTCCTCCCTGCTTGTGTCCCTCCTCCAAATAAACAAAATAAAAATAAAATCTAAATCAATCAATCAACCAATCAATCTAAGGGATTGGCCAGATGAGACCTCAGATTCCTCCTAGATCTGACCATCTCAAGCATTTAAAGTCTCCACAGTGATTCTGTTATTTAAGAAATGTAGCTAGGCTGGCCATCATGACCCCAGCTTCTAGGCCAGCTCCCATAGACTCAGGCTCTGGGATTACCCTGGTTCCAGGCAACCTCCTGCTGACTCAAGCTCCAGGCTGGGTCTCATAGATACAGGCTCCCAGCCAACACCAGAGCCAGGCTGGCCATAGACAGAAGTGTCAGGCCTGTCACCCCAGTGGTCCCTGATATCTCATTTACCCCCAAGAGTCCAGAACCCAAGGCCAAACCACATGAACTCAAGCATCAGGCTCACCTCAGTGGACCCAGGCAGCAGGCTGTCCCCTGTGGACCAAACCACCAGGCCTGTCCACTTGCTAACTCAGGCACCAGATTTGTCCACCCGAGGATTCTAGCGCCAAGCCTGCCCATGGTTACCACTAGGTGGTCAATCCAGAATCTCTGGACAGGCGGACTAACAGTCTCCCTGCTGAAGCCATTCTGTACAGACTGCTTCTTTAGATGTGCAGATACCAACACAAGTCCATGAGGATCATAAATAATCAAGGAAACATGACACTACCAGAGGAAACTAATAAAGATTCAATAAAAGGCTCTACAAAAATGGAGATCTATGAACTGCTTGACAAAGAATTCAGAATAATCCTCTTAAAGAAATTTAGTCAACAACACAGAGAAACAGACAAAATTAGGAAGACAGCATATGAACAAAATTAGTTTAATAAAGAAATAGAAGCCACAATAAAAATCAAATCAAAATCCTAAAGTTGAATACATTGAAATGAGAAATTCAACAGAGAGCTCCAACAGCAGACTCAACCAAGCACAAGAAGGAATCAGTGAGTTTAAGGGTATGTCAGTTAAAATTATCTGGTCAGGGGATCCCTGGTGGTTCAGACGTTTAGCGCCTCCCTTCGGCCCAGGGTGTACTGGAGTCCCAGGATGGAGTCCCACATCAGGCTCCCTGAATGGAGCCTGCTTCTCCTTCTGCCTGTGTCTCTGCCTCTCTCTCTCTCTGTCTCTCATGAATATATAAATAAAATCTTAAAAAAAGGTAAAAAAAAAGTTATCTGGTCAGAAGAGCAAAAAGAAAAAAGGGTGAAAAAAACCTTACATGAGTTGTGCAATATCATGTAGAGAAATAACTTATGTATTACTGGAGTCTCAGAAGGAGAAGAGAGGGAAAGAGGGCAGAAAATTAACAAAAAGAAGTAATGTCTAAAGAAATCTCCAAATATGGAGAAAGATTTGGACATCCAAGCTCATGAAGCTTATAGGTTCCCAAAAATTATCAACCTAAAAAGATCTTCTCTAAGATACATTATAATAAAACTATCTAAAATAAAAATAGAATATTTATAAAACAGCAAGGGAGGGGTACCTGGCTGGCTCAGTCAGAAGAGTGTGCAACTCTTGATCTTGGGGGTCATGAGTTGGAGCCCCACATTGGGCATAGGGATTCCCCCCCAAAAGTCTCAGGTTTCTAGCTCTCAATGCTCCTGTAATAAATCTGATAAACTATTTCTAAAATACAAATATAACAATAAAAAACCACAGCAACCCCAAAGAAAAAGAAATCCCTCACACACTAGCCAACCCTTGGAAGGTATTTGTGGATTTTTCAGCAGAAACACTGCAGGCCCAGAGAGAGTGGGATAATGTAGTCAACATGCTAGATTTCAAAATAAGTTTGACGTCACATAAGTATAACAAAAGTTCCTTTTGATACCTAAAAATTTTCTGGTAAAGACATTTATAGGTAAGAAGGAAAGCCAAATAAAAATATATACAACATGTAATTTCATCTTTGCTACAAAGTCTTATTCAATTTAAATGAAACTTTCTTTTGCTAGATATTAATCTATACAGGATCATAAAATTCTGTTTACTTTAACTTGTGAAAGTCAAATAAGTTATGGTAAAAACTCTAAGCAATTTGGTGATACTATTTATATGCAGATGGTGACAAATTCATAGGCTCTAACAATACCTGTCAAATTCATCAAGCTCTAAAATCAACATCAGTGTTTACTTGAACCCACTGAGGTTTTATTTTTTTATTATTTGTAACTACTTTGCACCAGAAATGAAAAGAATTACCTTGAGAGATTTTATTCAATTTATCATACCACCCAAATTCTATTCATTTTGATACATATTTTTTTTTTTTCAGAGAGAGTGTGTCAGTGGGAGTGGAGGGGGAAAGGGAGAGAGAGAATCCCAAGCAGGCTCCACTCCCAGCATGGAACCCAATGTGGGGCTCAATTCCAGGACCCTTAGATCATGACCTGAGCTGAAATTAAGAGTTGGACACTTAACTGACTGAGCCATCCAGGTGACCCTTGACATATAATTTTTTATTTATTTTAATTCCAGTATAATTAATGTACAGTGCCATATTAGTTTCAAGTCTACAATATAGTGGTTCAGCAACTCTTTATATTACTCAGTGTTCAATATGAGTACTCTCTTAATCCCCTTCATTTATTCCCCCTTTCCCCCAGCCTCTCCCCTCTGGTAATCACCAGTTTGTTCTCTATAATTAAGATTTTATATTTTGTTTGTCCTTTTTTTCTTTGCTCATTTATTTTGGTTTTGAAGTTCCACATATAAGTGAAATCATACGGTACCTGTCTTCTGACATATAATGTTTTTATTCAAATTGGAATCTGTCTCTGGTAGTGGTTAAGAGACACACTGTGGGAGAATATAGTAGTATCCTTTACCTGGAAACATTAGGAATGTACCCTGATATTATAATTCACATTATTCTCTGCTACTTAATCTACTATTGGTCTGTCATCTATAAATATACCTGTGAGAATGATGAACTTAGGTAAAGGTAATACCTCACACCTGGTACCTCAGGTAGTAAGTACTCAGGAGAATGAAAACTTACCAGGGACAAAGTGGGAATTAGCAGGATGCTACACAGAAGGCACTGAGGCTGAGGTAAAGGTCGAAGTAGTGATGATGCTTAGAATAAAATGTTCACAGTGATGATGTAAGCTAAGCTGGGGATGAGAGAAGGGTTATTTAAAGGCCTGATACAGGGGCACCTGTGTGGCTCAGTCAGTTGAGCATCTGCTTTCAGCTCAGGTCATGATCCTGGGGTTTTGGGACTGAGCCCCGAACTGTCTCCTGCTCTGTGAGGAGTCTGCTTCTCCCTCTCTTTCTTTCCCATTGGTGCTCTCCCTATATCTCTCAGAAAATAAACAAATATATAATGTAAAAACAAAGGCCTAATACATTTCAAATTCTACAGACTACTACTCAAAGTATAAGGATATCATCTGATATGCAAGATCGTGTGTTCTTAAGAGAACAGGCTGCCCTGTTCACACTGTCAGCCTTTACAGGGCAGGTGTACACTACAGTGCGATGACCTCAGCCCTGAGCATGGTGCTGACACAGACCAAGTGCCCCAATACTTCTGGGACAAAGGTTGACCAAATGTTAGTGCCTCTTGTGGAGTATACCACAAGCCCATTACACTATGTTACTTGATTCTCACAGCAACATTATAAAGTAGGTATTGGAAATTATAGATGAAGCACTTGAAATTCATCAGAGATTACAGGAGAGATTACTGGAGTCAGGGTGTCTGGGTTTGAGCCCTACATTTACTGCTTCCTAGTTCTGGGACTAGGCAAGTCAGTCTCTTTAATCCTTAAGTTTTCCATCTGTTAAATATACTGCCTTTCTATCACATAAAGCCTCCTAAGAAATTACAATTAGATCAGAAAGTAGTATTTCCATTTATCCACAATTCCATGGCCTCTCTCCTTTTAAATAAGAGCACTACGTTTTTGAAGAAACATATTAGGAAAAAAAATCTAAGATTCACTGATTTTTTAAAAAAGATTTTATTTACTTATTCATGAGAGACACACAGAGAGAGGCTGAGACATAGGCAGAGGGAGAAGCCGGCTCCTTGCAGGGAACCTGAGGTGGGACTCGATCCCCAGACTAGGATTATGCCCTGAGCCCAAGGCAGACGCTGAACTGCTGAACCATCCAGGCATCCCTAAGATCCACTGATTTTATAAAAATACTTTCCTTGAACTAAGTGTTGAAGTGCTCACTACACTGATGCTACATCAAGTTAGGAACCCAAGGGAGAGCTACACTAGCATCCAGAGACAACTGCTAACACACATCAAACTCCACCACTTCCCACTTCCCTTCAGAGTGAACCATCCATTCTTCTTCTCCGAGGTCTCATCTCATCTTCTCAAGTGTGGTTGGTAACACACTCAGAGGAGAGGCATGCACCATAATGGTTCTGTAGTAATTTATGGTAACTCCAATATGAAAAAGAATTCCTTTAAACATATTTTAAAATTCAGCAAAAGTGAGGGCACCTGGGTGGCTCAGTCTGTTAAGCATTTGACTCTTGGTTTTGGCTCAGGTCATGGTCTCAGGGTCATGAGATCAAGCTCTGCTCAGTGTGGAGTCTGCTTGAGATTCTCCCTCTCCCTCGGCCCCTCCCCAACTCTAAAATAAATAAATAAATCTTAAAAGAAAAATGTCAGCAAAAGTGAGATAGCATGGTGTAACATTTAGGCTAAGTCTAAAGTCAGAATACCTGGGATAGAATCCAAAGAGTGTCACTTA